TTGAAGAAGTATAGCATGTTGTGGACGCTGATTAGGTCAGTGGTTCTGTGGACGGTATGAAAGGAGCGGAATGATGCAGTATTTAACGACATTACATGGACACCGCTCAAGTTACTCCAATCAGTCTGGTTAGGAATTGTGGACTATGAGCGCCTTGAGTGGTCTGTGGTGAGCCTAACAAAGAAAGTGACAGCGGCCCACGGTGCCAAGTTAGTCCAGCGATTCGAAAATAGGTGGTGTTGTCAGAACCTGTTCTTGTCGATGGTTGATGGTCAATCCCACTGGATTCTCACTGGGCCTGTAGCCGGGTTCGTGTTTCAACCACCGTAGAAAAATCAAAGTTACGACCCCGATCGCGTACACAGGCCTGATACAGGTTCGTCCCCTTCCTGTGTCAGTTGGGAGGGAGGATAATGACATGGTAGGCTAGGTACGGAGGAGTCTCAGTCCACGTCATAGGTGGTGTAATATTTCCGCTCGGGCTGCTTGCGGCTGGGCTGGTTGTAATGTACTTTCAAGGCAATGAAGTTTTCTTCATTTGTTTCGAAATAATTAATTAATGGATCCTGAGGCTGACAGCATTTGTCAACAAGGCTTTAATCAAGCATCAAAGCATCCAATGCCTGACAGTAGAGAGGATCTCAGATTCATTGGGTACGTTTGCACAACTTCAATGATGTCGTACCTTGGGCTACGTGGGCTCAAATCACGTAGACTTGTTCACCGATCAGTATTACTGCCAGGATCAGGGAGGAAGGAAGAATCTTCAACACACGCAAGTGTTACTGGTGATTGGGTCCTTCTAGTGCAAACACCCAGATGGCTCGTAGGACCAATTTTCAGCCCGGATGCTGCGATTAACGATACTAGATGTGGGTTTGGTTTTCAGCAGTCCAACTGCAGGTCCACGGCATGTGCCAGCGCTTGCAAACCCTGATTTCATGATACCCAATCTGGGGTAGAACCCTGTCAATTAGTATTTGATCTAAGGATTCCGTGACAGTGGAAATTTGATCCCATAATACATGCCGCCTACAAATTTTCCTCTTTCCCAGAAGTTACAATCAAAACATGACCAATGCCGTGTGGAAAAACCCAATTTCAAAGAAGATTGTATTAGATCAATAACCTGCTATGACCAACCAGCTAACCTCGAACAAAATTTCAGCCTACACAGGATTATGTGGAGGTAGAATTCATTGTGCAGTAGCAGTCGCCCACTGCTGTGTCACCAAGCTGTGTGACAGTTGGGTAGTTTTCTATCAATCGAATCAATTGACATTGAAAAATGCTCACAAGAAGATCACCAGTAGTTGGATTGGAAATAAAAGTGATTATTCGACGTTGGCTGCATAGGATATTAACCAGGATCAGAAATCATATGCTGATTAGCATTCCTGAACTTTTTCAACCTTAATGTTACATTATTTAACATGTTTCCAATGCGTAGTACCAAGTTTTCTAGGATCAAGTAAAGCAGGAAAACAATAACTCGCCTGCCTATAGGGATTCTATTGATTTTTGCATGAAATTCAAATCAAGCGTCGGACCTCAGTGTCTAGTTGCGCCAAACGGCTTTGGACAATAACTGCTTCACACCTGAGAATGTAATATATGGCTGTAATAGATAACATGATGTATCTGATCTGCAAGTGTTTGCATAAAAAACTGCATTAAAAGGTTTCGATGTCCTGATCAGCATGACACACCTACTTTAGAATTTATTTCACCACACCTTCTGACAATGTCTAGGATATGAGAAATGCCGAAGTCTTCATGTTAATTGGTCTCGCCACCGATGTCGGTCAGCCCACAATTCGGCCTCACAGACTCAAGGTCTCCAGCTTGGATAGACAACTAATTTTCAAATTGCTGCAGTGAACTTGAGGACGACTCTCTAGGAAGAAGTTGCAGATGGTGGGAGAACCAAAACTATCTGGAAAACGGAGTGCGTTACTGAATGGCGAACTCAGATGTTCAAGCTAAATTTGTTGCAAATACTCAGAAATTTGCTAGAGACACACAGTTACCCTCAAATAGACTCTTTCGTTCGATGCCATGAAAATCATCAAATAATTTCCAACAATTGAGAATTCACGGCAACATGCAGTCATGGTCACGAGGAACATTCGAGGTCACAAACAAGAACAAAATGAAGGTTCTCAGAGGCAGCACCTAGAACACCGATAGCAGAGACGCTACAGAATTCCAGCTGATATTGCTGTGGGCGCTTAGGGGAGCATTAGACGCAATCTGCAACGCTTGTGATAGTCCTTGAAACTGATCAGATCAGTCTCACAATCATCAACTTGGCAACGCGGAGTCTGCGTGCTCGGGGACACGGCGTGCTGTATCTTTCCTGGAGTTCAGAGTGCAGAGGAAAAAGCTATGGCTTGTCCTGTTACATAAGATTCCCGAAAGTGCGCCCTTCGTCAAAGAAACAATCTACGGCAGTTGCCTCCAATCGCCGCACTGCTGCCACTGATATGGCCTCCGAATGGTTGATCAGGGTTCAGTTCATCTGTTGGCAAATCTTCGTCGGCTCCTCACACGAGCCGCTTCAAGAAAAGAAGTCTATATATTTGATTTCGGGCTTGTACATAACTAGCTCTCCCCCATGTCTGTCTTGCTAATTTTTCATGAATGCAGCAGAATCAGAGCCATTATTTCCCCTGCAGATGGTCACATTGAAAACTCCAGACGAACGGACGTCACCGAATCTTTACTACTCCCTGAGGCGTGAAAATAGAAGATTTCACTTGGTTCGGAAGCTTCCACAGTAGTGAAGCTCAGCGTATTGCTGGGCGCTGTGGCTCAACCGTCGCTTAGCATGACCAGGTGCTCGTTTCCTAGCCGGAGGGGTAGTTCGTGGTTGGATCCTCACATTCCCAAGAGTCCACAAGATTGTTGCAATTCCAGACCGTGCTGGACAAACACTGAGAACCTTGAATGCCTGAGATGATATCCGAGTGTTCGAGGTTGCTCATGACACCCATCACCACATGCAGCTCGTTCGAGCACAGAAACTAGAACCGCTCTGACGAGTGAACCCTTGCTAGGGCTAGTCCTATGTGAGCCGTTGTTTGTCGCTGTAAAAGCCTACTTTAGTTAGCAGAACCGGAACCTTAAGTGCGACGAGAAGGTTTAAGAAATGTTGAGTGATGAAGTAGGAGACTTGAGACAAGCAGGGACTACGTAGTAACCTTGCAACCCTCGCACCCATGATAAAGTCGAAAGGAGGAGCAGAAGACGGTTCTGAACCAAAAGGTAACATGACCATGACCAGTAAATCGATGCCTTGAGAGTGCTATCCTGTACATGAGATTCAACACAAAAAGAAACATACAACATTAACAGCTAAAATAAACGCCCTACCCTGCTACATGGCCGATCGGTGACAGCGAGTGGGACAACTAACCTCGCCAAGTTTCAGAAGATTCTTGAAATTACAATTCGCTTGAGATAATCAATCGAAATCCCTCAAATCTTATCAAACGAACTTCTAACAGGCGTGAAGAGTCCGAGTTGCAAATATACTCTCGATGGTGCGTCTGGATGCTACTCGCATTCGTGTTGAAAGAGCATGCAGAAACTATCATCATTTTCTAAGTCTGCCTTTGCCAGTGAAAGTGAGACAGTGAGAGAGGCAAACACCATTCTAACAAACGATAAAACGATGTGCATGTGCGCACCACGAGCACACAAGCACCTCAAAACGTCGGCAATCCTGCCTCAAACAAATACAACCGACAATCCCCAACGTATAATAATTTAACCTAAAAACGATCAACCCACCAGTCAAGCAGAAGACTCAATCACTGGAGTATCAACACATCACAAAAGCGTTTTTCATCAAACCACTCTTTCATTATTATAATACGCAACATTTTTATTAAGTTAAACAACAAATCGACAAACTTCAATTGATTGCCATACAGTAGGTTCAAGCAGAATGTAGCAGTTAATTTCCTCAATTAACTGCTTCACTTGGTTGTACTGTCAGCAATGGTCGGTATTTCTCGGACATCACCCAGGATGTGTCAGGAAAGCAGCAGCAGCAGAAATGTCTACTTCTTACTAAATGCGGAAACTGAATCAACTATAAAAGAGAAAAGCACTGCTGTCAAATATAACCTGAGTGATACACTCAAAGCTTAAGCGATTTTAAGAGATTCATACTCCGTACCTTCGATGGAAGTTGTCCTCCGCAAAGTGCCTCATCACAGGATTACCGTGGTGGTTAAGAAATACGAGACAAGGTTGCTGATGAGTACAGCCGTTGAAGACCCAATTATTTCCACCACATCTCCTGCTCCTGTTGGATATTGATTACCCTAGGAAAGCACTGGAGGCGTCGTCCTCATTGCCTGGCGTTGGGTTGGAGAGGTTCGAGCAGGGGCTCCACCATCGGTTCGAGCAAGGGCTCCAGTTGGGATCTGAGATGACGAAATGTCATGAATGGGTGGAATCATAGCTTTGTTTGTTGTTTGTCGTTTGTCACCACGTTTCTCTGTACTGAGAGTACAACGAGTTCAACATGCACTCAAATGAGTCTCTTGGTGTTGGAACTAAGAACTTTCAATAGACTATGAGTCGTGCTGAAGTGAGGAGCATTTATGAGTGTATTGTAAGTTGGACTGGGCGTGGGGACTACTTTCAGAGTTATTGAATCTAGATGCGTGTGAATGTTGCTTTTAAAATCAGAAACCTCAGTTTCTGAGAAGAGTTACATCCGAACATCACATGTTAATGTGTAGAACTTGCATTGATGAAGACGATCGATGGTGCATGTGGCAGATAGACTTCTGGTGAATGACAATTATATGACTGGGGCCCATATGCCATAATTCATACTTCCAAAGTTGAGAATGTTTGATGGCAGTTGAAGAGGTTAGTTCAGTAAGAAAGCACGCAGGACAAGGGTGGAAGAAAAGTATTCAAAAGAAAGACTGAAGACATTAGCACAACTTAAGCTTCTCCCATATTGAAGTGGAGAGGAATGAAAAAGATCTCGCACTCGAGAGAAAAGGATCTTGACTTTTCCAACACTTAATTGACTTTTCCAGAGCTCACAATCTCAGTAGCCAGAAAATGCTGAATAAAGCTGCACAAATGGATCTAGAATACAATTTATAAACCAACAAGCCGGATCGAGTTTTCTGTCTCCTAGTATTACAGAGGCTGCTGCGACAGCCAGACTGTACCAGCTCCTAATGGTTAAAGAAATAGCAGCCTGAAGCGTGAAACCACAAGTGAAATAAGATCGACTAAATCTCAGCTGGGCACACAAGTAGTAGTACGCTTGTTCACCTAAAAGTTCCATGTCGCGATATTTCAACCGATTACACGTATGAAACAGACATATACAAAATTCCTAGTCTCCTAACCCGGGTTGATGAGAGCAAACGAACCCAAGATAAAATCTCATACAAAGAAAATTAATAAATGAATATTCCACAGAAGCTATTTCGAGTTTAGGTAATCGTCACTGCGTTACTGAGTGCTGAAAATCGAAGACTCAAAGGGACGTAGAGCGCTAAACCCATTGTATTGGCCACCGGAGACCTGGGAATGGAGTCCATTGCTGTGAGAGCTAGGCATCTGCATAAGATCGATTGTTGGGCGAGCGTGATGAGAGGAACCAGAGTTCAAGGCTTGAATATCCTGACCGGCCTGAACTAAGGCGAGCATGGAGTTCGTCTCCTCATACCCACCTCCTAGACTGGCCAGAATATTACCGTTACCGGTGGCAGTCAGCCCACAATTCAGCCCCACAGACTCAAGGTCTCTAGCTTGGACGGAGAACTGCTTTTCAAATTGCTGCTGTGAGCTAGATGACGATCCTCCAGAAGGAAGTTGCAGATGGTGGGAGAACCGAGACCCTCGGTTGCTGCTATCACTACTGCTGGCCACCAACTGCTCCAAGGTCGAGTCATACGCCTGAGAGAGGCCGAGAGACACTGGAGCAGATGCACCTGGGGGCGGGCGAGAGGCCCATGACTGCGATGACAGAAGAGAGAGAGCACGACCAGTGTTCGTCAGTCCAGACACGCTGGAGAGACTCTGGGAGCAGGAGTCAATACGGCTTTGCTCCAAGCTGCCCAGAGCCCCTCCCGTAGAAGAAGACAGCGATAAACCCTGGCCTAGTGGACCTACAGGTCCTTCCAGGAAGTGATGACCACCTAGATTCATGCCCGTGGATGTGTTCGGAGCTGGCATTTGTGTCTTTGGGTTCTGGAGAAGCGAGAGAAGCCGATCGGCTGTAGGGCGGGACAGTGTTGAAAATATTGACTGTCTCTCTGCGCTAGCAGCCTGTAAATGACCATCATCCGCCACAAACGCTGGATCAGATATTAGCACGTTAAGGGAGAGCTTCAACAGTTTGAGCCCCGGGTTTTGAGCCAGAACTAACTGACTACGTGGTGATGTTCACTGACCCAGAAAACGAGAATAAAATAAAAATTTGTAACCCCCGAAAGATGATTTGAAGCGTACCTGAAACTGACACGCGAGATTACTGTAGTCCCTCCTTAACGTGGACCAGGGGTTAGTACGCTTTAGGCTGTCTGAATAAGGGTGAAACTCATCCTCTAGAGACGACCCTCCATGACGATGCAAGAAGCTTGTCCGCTTACTATCTGCAGGGCCAGACACGATGGAACAACTTTGTAAGCGAACCACAATGAAAGACGTCGAACAACTCTAAGCATTTAGCAGGGTAACTGCATATAAGGAAGGTCGAGCTAAGTGCAACGATATGTTTACAATGGATCCACGGAGCCGTATTTTAGGGGAAACAATAGATTACCTAAAAAGTAGAATGGCGCAGCATCCATTGTAAGTGTGGATGTATCACTGTACAGTGAAGATGAGTTCCGCAACCCAAAAACGGAATGTGTCTCTGGGTGTGGCTTTCTTCGCCGTTCATTGTGACCTGCCAATCTCCTGCGACAGCTGCGCTTCCCTTCGTCGAACTCGGTGAGGACATGAAACCTGCAGCAGCCAACACCGACATCAATAAACAAGTGCCATCAAACTCTTTTACCGTGAATTTTTGCCTACACATGTGAACAGCAGAGATGGTTCACATTGATACGATTAAAACAAGGCCTTTTTCAATCCCGAAAACCAACTCCTGACAGTAGTAGATGTACCTCGAAGAAGCACGAATATTTTTAAGCAATCCTCAAGGCAACATACTCAAGCTGATTGAGCTACATTACCAATGAAACTAGCCAATACTTCCAGATCAGTCTGAATTAACGTTACGATCACTGAAAACACTGCAATACATCGGATACAAGCATTATCGAATTCAAAGATTTCCATACTTTCAATGCGGCATTGGCGTACTCTCACGAAGCCATGCATTCATGGTCACTACGAACATCCAAGTGCAAAGCAGATCTAAAGCTAAAAATACAGAATGGTGGTCTTCAGAAGCAGCACCTCGAACACTGTTGGCAGAAACGCTGCTCAATCCCAGCTGCAATGCATTTGGGCGCTTTGGAGTGCATCTCGCAAACCTTGTGACGCTTGTGATAGTCTTTGCAACCACTTAGATCAGCCTTACAGCCCTCGACTTGACAACGCGCGATCTGCACGTTAGGGGCCACAACGCGCTGCTTCTTTCCCGGAGGTGAGGGTGCAGGGGAAGACGAGCCTTTAGCCTGCCCTCCACCAAACGAATCCTCAAAGTACGTCCTGCGCCCGAGCTTCAGCCCAATGTTCAGCGAATCGCCTCCTCCACTCACCACGCTGCTGCCATTACTCTGGTCCCCAGCTGCTCTTGCACTCTCATTTTTCTCTGAAAACTTCTCCCCATTTCCGCGAGACTGAACTCCTCCCAAATCGAAAAGAAGTCTATCTTTATGACCACTTAGAGTGGCCGGCGTGCCCACCACTGTCCGCTCCATCCCATGCTCATCCGGCTCACTCTTCACTACTGAGGAGAGATCGGCGCCACAACTGCCCCTGCCAGCGCTCACGCCGGGAATACCTGACGAAACAGATAATGTGCCTGAAATCGTGCTACTCCCGGACGCCAACCCAATCGAGAAATCCGACGCTCCTGCCGAGGTGGTGGCCAGGGTCACAGCACTGCAAGCTGCGCTAGCTGGCCAATCATTATTGTGCAACCTCTGGTTTCCGTCACCTTGCCGAGGATACACCATGGTTAGATTCTCCGGCCATTCCCAGGAGTTTGCCTTGAGGTCCCACTCCATCCTACCGCTGCCGACGTAGTCTCCCTCGCCGCTTCCCTCCATGGAAGACGAATCAGTCAAGTTTTGGTGCTCCCAAGAAGTGCTCGACCAACAGTTTTCGGGAGCTTGGGTGCCTGAGCTGCTGATGCCAGACTGAACTTGACTCCCATTCAATGCCATCGCCATGTCTAGCTGACTCATGTGCAGCGAGTGATTATCACTTGCCTGAGTACTCCTTCGAGAATACAAAACCCTTTCTAGGGCTACTATCGCGGTAGCCGTCGCTCCCCAATCTCAATATGATCTACATTGGCTGTATGCAGGAAATAAAAGGGTGTGGCCAAGAAAAGGTTCCTGAACAAAAGCCTGATTGGCAGGAAGCAGCTCTCGAATAATGCTCGCAAATCGCAGCAGTGTACTGTACCGAATAGTGAATCACCGAAGCCTAGACACTAGGACGCAAGTTTGATGCCGTCCCCAGTGGAGAAGACAATGCTACGTTGCTTTGTTGAAACTCGCCAAAACACCCTACCTGATCGACTAAGTAACAGGGAAGGACGAGACCTTCCAAAAGGACGTCGACAATGAGAGGACAACGGCAGCTATCAACCCTTTGGTGATACGACTGTCCAAAGCGACCTCAAACACGACCCTACTCGCAAGCTCGAACATTACAGAACAACGTTTGCTAGCTAATTTCACCACACTTATAACAAACGCTAACCCTCACTCGCACGACGAATTAGCGGTAGTCAACTTGACCTACTAAGACCGTCGCGAATAACGATGCAAGAGGCTATTTCCATGGACTCAGCCACCACCATGAACACGTAAGTCCGATGGCGAGAGGCTGACACTAGAGGCGTCCGAACAAAGCCAACTATTCAGCTGAAATAGCAGCAACTGCAAGCACGCAGCCCACTAACTAGCTCAACTTAACGTAAAACGCGCCCACCACACCAAGCCAAGCCAAGCCAAAACTCGCTAACCAACTCGGCGCCACGGCTCGGGACACACAGCGGCAAACAACAACCACCGCCCGCTAACGTTGTGTGAAACCCCCCTCCTGCTTGGAACACCGGATTTTGCAATCACTGAGGGTAGCAAGGAGCGCTACTGCTTAGATACACCCTCATAATATGATCCTCCCACGCGACAACACTGGAGCTGCGTCACCAGGGGGGCTCTCTGATCGACATCGACACCGGCGCTGGCAGCACAGCTCCACCCACCACCACTCCTCCCGAGCCTAACCCCGTCCACGTCCGTCCCCGCGATCCTTCCCAACAACGACCACACACCTCCCGCGACGCCCCCAAAATTAACGCCCCCGCGCCATAGATCTGGACGTCACACCCTCCTCACTCGGCCCCCCAAACAACTGCTCTATGGCTCCCCTCCTTCCCCTCCCCTCCCCTCCCCTCCCCTGCCTGTATGCCTGTCTGCCTGCTGCTGATGCTGCTTCAACAGCATGGACGCTGCCCCGCAAGCTCACCATTACCAAAAGCCTTGCCCTCCCCGGTGGCGCGGTGATAGGGGTTCCTAGCGGTACCACGGGACACGGAACAGCCGCCAGGCATCCGTTAAGAACGGAGCCCCTTTGGCTGGCTCCAGGTTATTCTAAAGGCGCCCGCCCCTTCCGATGCTAATGATACCCAGCGGATTGCAAGTGGCATCATCCCCGACCTGATGGGAAAAAGCAACTCCCTCTCTTTTTCAGAGATGAACCGCAAATAAATGTATGCTCGTGTGGTGAAAGTAAACGTGAGGTAGGTCCTCGGCGTTCGGGAAGTTAGCCGGTAGATTTCGTTGCCATCTTTCTTCATTAGGTTTCTCTAGACACAAGTGTGTTTTTGAGTTGATTATTGCAAATGTTGAGGAAAGTGAGTCTGATTACCATCTTGGTGGTGGAACCCATTTCTGTAGTGTCATGGATCCAAATTCCAAGATACTTCGACTTACCAGATGAGATTCTTGCAGTGATTTTAAAATAAATAATTAAACAGACCTTCCAAAGTGCTTTGTGGCTATTGAGGGGTTCTAGAAAGACATGGAAGGTATTGTAAAATTCAAGAAGAAATGGAAAGCGTGAAACTATTTTAGATACTTATATATGATACTAGACGTGAAAAAAGAGAAAGTTTTTATTGAAATATAAAACAAAAAACTAATGTGTGAGAGTATACTTGTTCTAAAGAATGATTGGTTGGAAGTGACCGGGGGCAACTTTTAAAAAATAATTAAAAGGTGAACAGTAGAATGCAATTGTTTGGTGGGTTGTCATATGAAAAAGCAACATAAAGGCATATTTGCAGTTTGTTTGTTTGTTTTAATGATGTTGTGTAGAATTTGTTTTGTTATATATTATTTATTGTAAATATGAGTAAAAATATAGAGAGGGTCAAAATGGGTAAGGAAGGGTAAAAGTACAGCAAGGTGATGAGGGCAATCTGACGGCTGTAAATAGGGACAGTGGGTCCATGTCTCTTGACTTATTATCATTAACCCTGATTCCCCTGATACATGAATGCAGCTTCACTGTTCACAAAAATATGCTTGACCACTGAAGCAACAATCCATCACATGATGAAAATGATGATGATGATGCTGATGTCTATAATCCTGGGCCAAGGCCAGCCAGCCCTGCTACTAAGTAAGTGAGCCACAGCAGTCATGAAGTGAAAGCCAGCCCCCTATTTCCACTGCCACAGAATCCCATCATATCAGGGACTTTGGGTTCACATCACGTGGCTCACACAGCTTTAACATGGAACCCACACACACTTCTACAGTGTGTTCTTGTCAATATGCATATATCTATATATGTATATATATTATACACACCCACACACACACACATCCTATATACACACAGATAGAGAGATATATTGGTGTGAATGCTCCATGCTTTATGCAATGTTGGATCATAGGCTGTAGAAGAAGAGTGCCCCACCTTAGCAAATGTGTCCCATCTAGGGTATTTTGAACAAGCTCAGCATTGGGAAAGGAAAAAACACAGAGAAAAGATATATGCCAGGGTGGGTGTAAACTGCTACGTGGGGTTATGGATTGGAAACGCTCACTGAGTTGCCCTCAACACAACACTGGGTGAATGCCACCAATGGCACAACCCATTCGTGGTCAAAATCCTATGAAGAACAAAGATACTCTGCACTCAAATCATTCAAACATATTTATCATACTATATTATATGCATAGATGAGTATGAGGGGATAGCTATTAATGAGAGAGGGGGGGGGGTGAAAGGTGGACAATGTTGGCCTCAATCCCTTCAGTTGCCATGTCATCTGTGCTGGGAGCCAGTTAATGAGACACACACCACAGTTGCAGGAATAGTAGCCCCCTTTTGTCCCTTCAGTTGGGTTTCATTCAGTTGCTTCTTCCTCTTCCTTTAAGCCTGTTCTGCTCTCTCTCAGGTGGTTTGGTTTGTCTCCTTTTCATGGTTCACAATTGCAGTGGAGGCTGTTCCCATGAGAGTGTCATGAAAGGCACATGATTACCACACCCTCTACATGGGTCTCTGGATTGGGAACTCTGTCCACAAGATACTGTCATCAGAACAAGAGATAAAGTTATGGCAAAAAACTTAAATGGGAATAATGAAAAGAAAAAAGGTAGGACAACCACTTTGGGGTAGATAGTTCAACTGTAGCCCACGGGGAAGGAATGGTTCAAGACTGTGGTGTGGAGTTATCATGGGTCTCTCATCTTCCTTTCCCCAAAAAGGCAAAAAGTCCAAAAAGGAGATCTCCTCTGTGATCACTACAGTAGGTACCTTTTTGTGGAGAAAGTGCTTTTTCTTCTTCCTCTACTTCTTCTCCCTTCTCGAGCATTCAAGTTGGGTTCGAATAATAGTAATAATGTACATGCACAACACAAAGCCCAACATTAGAAAAATCTCAATATCTTGTCACTTTGTTTAAATAATGGAGGAATATCAAAACTTTACAGCTACCCTCAGTAATATATATATATATATATTGTAAATATGTATATACACACATCTCCTTAGACACATTTGCATAAACATGAACAGCTTTACTACATTTCACCACTAATTCAACGTGTATATATGTATATATATATACACATTGATAGTATATGGCGTCTATAGTATATGATGCCATATTACAAGTGAATAGAAATAAGGTTCAACATATGTTATCATTAACTAAGACATACACAGGATTAGCATGTAGCCACTCTAAAGCGTAAATGAAAGTCTAATAGCTTTAATTCAGATAATAAAATAATGAAATGCTAATTCTATTTCTGGGTCTTTAATGACCTGGGAGTAGTAATGCCCGTGAATAGAGTCCTAAATTTTATTTATAAATTTAAAATCCACTCACCCTATTTGGATATAATTCCATTTTGAACTCTTTGGATGGTATGTTTGTTGAAAATCATTTTAACAGTTTTATAGTCTTCATATATCTACGCCTTTGCAAATCATTCCTTTAATGTATTGCATCAAGGAATGTTGGTATACTTTATTTGATTAGTTTTTATGTATTTGAAATCAATACATCTAATTTTGGGATTTCAGGATTGTCTATATTTGAGATTGATTAATGTGGATAAATTGTAACATTTGCAACTACGATCTCCATGATTCCTATTCATGAATGCATACATTTAGCAAAAGTAATTTAAATTAAATGCAATCTTTTATTTTTTAATTTTTTTAATTTTTTTGTTGTTGCTAAGCAGAGTATAGACACATCCCACAGCCCCAGACCTAAGCTGGGATGCACAATTTGAAGCTCCTCCAATTAATTACAGAGGTATCACAGTCTGACCACAAAATAGTCTCACAAAAGAAATTAGGGATTTTGTAAAAATAATTAGGCAAAATAATTAATGAAACACTTAATGTCTAATGAAAATTACACAAAATTAGTTTGGGTGCAAATTTGTCTTATACTGCTTAGTTAATATGATGCACATAAAATGATATTGTTACATGCGGATAGAGAGATATGATATTATTATAAATTTAAAATTCACAAAAATAAATAAAGTATAAAATATAATAGCATATAACTTCAAATATTACTTGTAAGCAGCGTATATGTATTTTAAAAAATGAAAGATATTCAAATAAGTTCACCTTAGACATTAGAAAAAATTACATAAAGGTGGCATTTGGTAAGAAGGTATATGCTTGTAACTTCATCCATCCATCCATCTATTCATCCAAACTATATTGCTCTTTATTACACCTTGATGAAAACTATAACATATTTCTCCCAAAACCAAGCAAGGGACTTCAATGCTAACATATTTTATATATTTTTCCAATGCCTTAGAACGTGTTATACATTCTTCTTACAATAATCAACTTTATCTTATTTATTCACACTTGATTAATTAAATAAATAATTGATTAAGTTACCAATGTCAGTGTGGTTGAAGAATGTTTTATCCTACATTAAACATTAAGATGCTGAGGTTATCCATTACAAATAAATTGATCACATCCACATTTTGAAAATCAAACTGCTACCATTCTTCATTTATTATTGAGTGGCGATTTGAGTAAATCTATTTTAGTTGCCATGGTTTTGAACTAGTATTACTGATTATTTCAAAAATATAGTTGTTTCAAGTGTATGGTTTAGAGCTACATTATAACTCATAATGAGTGTAGATTTTAAATCCAAATGTAAAGAACATGAAAATAACTATGTCCATATTGAATTTTCTCACAAAATTTAATCTTGAAACTTAAGAGTTTGTATTATTTATATACTTATTTACGGAAGAAATAAATATTCTTCATATTTATCTTTTGTATTTTCTTGTAAAGAATCCAGTTTGAAATCTATGTTTGTTATTTTATTAAACCATGATTTAACTCATTTCTAAATTTCAACCTTTGGTTACATTAGAATATGTATCAAACAAATGTTCAACATCAAGAGTTTATTTTCTTTTTCTTTTTCTTTTCTTCTCTTTTCCGTTTAACGTTAAAAACCTAAATATTGTTTTCAGTGCAAAGATGAGTTTTTACCCCTACATTTTTTTTTTTTCCAATTTTTTTTTTTTTCCCCATTTGATCTGATCATATACAACATTTGGATGAGAATAGTTTCTCAAACCTTTGATTTCACCTCTATACTCCCTTATACCCTACGAGCTTAATGGATCTCAAAAATCAATAATATAAAGTAATTTTTAAGTAGATCGACAATTTTATACAACACCATTAAAGGTTTTTGCCAACGTGGTCGTACAGATGCCAATGTGGCTGGATATGCACCTAAAATTCATATCTTTAAATAGTTCCAAACCCAGATTCTGAATTCTACAACACTTTTAATGTGATAACAAAGAG